TAGATGGATGGATGGATGGATGGATGGATGGATGGATGGATGGATGGATGGATGGATGGATGGATGGATGGATGGATGGAAATGTATACAAGAAAGAGAGTTCTGTCATGTTGCTTTTATTAGATTTTTATTGTAAACTAGTTTGACACAAAATCTTTACGTGCATGTAGAGGCGGGGTACTCCCCACATAGGTCCCAGGTCCATCATAGGGACACTTCAGAGTTACCACTTGACCTAACATGCATGTTTTTGGTATTTGGGTGGAAACCAGAACACCCGTAGAAAACCCACTTGTGCACGAGGAGAATAATGCAAACTCCACACAGAAATCCACACAGAACCCTGCAGATGGTGGATGCTGTCTATCATGGTGCACTAAGATTCATAACTGGCTGTGATTATCGTACCCACCACTGCACCCTGTATTCACTGGTTAACTGGACATCATTAACTTCACCCAGATTATCTCACTGGTACATTTTCATCTTTAAATCACTTCTTGGTTTGTTGCCTTCATACATCTCCTCCTACATGTCTCTGCATGAGTGCAGTTACAGCGTGCACTCTCAGGACGTTATTACCTGCAGTGTTCCCTCAGTGCGGACTGAACTTGGCAAAGGGCCTTCTCCTACTCCGCTCCTGTTTCCTGGGATATCTTACAAAAAGATTTGAAGCTCTCGAACTTGACCTCTAAATGGCTTTAAGAATCTGTTGGACTCCTGGCAGAGATCAATGCAGACATGTTCCTGTTTTTAGTTTTCTACATTCGCCTTAGAATCTAGCTGGTTTTTGTTACCTCTTTGCCATCCTATTTGTAAAAAAAAAAAATCTTTATTTCTTTTTATAACTGTTTATTGTTGTCGCTGTTGTCCATTGTTGTCATTATTCTTTGTTGAAATCAGGTCTCTCTTGTAAATGAGTCCCCGAGGCTCAATGGGATTTACCTGTCTAAATAAAAGTTGAATGAAACTGCCTCAGGCCAGGAGGCGATCCTTTCACTCTGAGAGGTGACAGCTTTAACAACTGCTTTATCGTACGGCCCTTTTCATGTTTACATTCCATTGTTTATTTTCAATAGTGTTTAACTTATCCACTCACAATAGTGTAAAATCTTAAGTTTTCTTTGTAAATGTTCAATGTGTTGTTAGGCATTACATACATTTCACTTGAATTGGGCTTTTTGTTTGTTAAAAAATAAAATTAAGAATGGAGATAAAGGAACATGCAGATACTCTGTCTCCACTTTGTTTTACCGTATACAGTGAAAAATAGCTCAGTCCTATAGTGCTGGTTTACCCCCTATGTGAATGTGTTATTTATAAGACTGAGCTTGTTGTGGCTCCTTGGACTGATGAAGTCTTTTGGATGAAAGATGAAGCATTTGAACAAAAATAAACTGTCCAGAGGACCTGACTGGAGTTAGTAGGAGAGATCATATCTCTCCAGTTTTAACTTTTCTCCATTGGCTCCCTGTCAAATCCAGAATTGAATTCAAAATCTTACTTCTAACCTACAACGCTCTCAACAACCCAGCTCCATCTTATATTTGAGATCTTATTGTTCCATATTTTCCAAACAGAGCACTTCACTCTCAGACTGCAGGTTTACTTGCAGTTCCTAGAGTTTCTAGAAACAGAATGGGATGAAGATCTTTCAGTTATCAGGCTCCTCTCTTGTGGAACCAACTTCCAGTTTTAAGACTTTCCTTTTTGATAAATCCTATAGTTAGCGTTGGCTTTTTATGCTGTCTTAAACTTAGACTACTAGAGGACAAATTGAGCTAATTTCTTTAAATTAATTTTTACAATTTAATACTTTTCATTTGATACTATTTCTATTTTAACGTGATTCTTGATCTACCATACCATGCGTCTGTTCCTCTTTCCTGTTCCTCTCAAACCCAGCCGGTTAAAGCAGATGGCCGCTTGTCCTGAGTCTGGTTCTGCTAAAGGTTTCTTCCTCATGAGGGAGTTTTTTTCTTTCCACTGTCGCCTTCATGTTTGCTCAAAATGAGAGTTCTATAATGGAGTTAAATTCAAAGCAGTCTGCTCCTCTGTTAAATAGTATTAACTTATTTTATATACAGTGGTCCCTCGCTACTTCGCGGTTCGACTTTCACGGACTCGCTCTTTTGCAGTTTTTCTAAGCAAGATTGGACATGACACACAAAAATGTTGAATGAGTCGCACGATCGGCATGGACTTATTCATTTAAAAGACATTATTTCAAATTATTTAGCATCTGCTGCACCTGTGTGCAGCCCACAGGTGAAGGGAGAGGCTCCCTCCTGCAGCGTGTCATGATCTCCGCTCTGGAGCAGAGAAGTAGGCGTGACCAACAGCACTGGCAGGGTCAGAGAGTGGAGATCATGACATTCTGTGCTCTTTCAGAGCGTTTAGAGTGTTTAGAAACATTGTTCAGAATATTGCAAGAGGGTACTACTTGTACTACTATTCCAGCTTTGTGGTTTTTAACTTATCGCGGGTGGGCTGAGAACAGAAACCCCTGTGATAAACGAGGGACTATCAGAATGTTTCTGTTCAGTGCCCTGAGATTACTTCTGTTGTGACTTGACACTATATAAATAAACTGAAATGAACCGAATTGAACTTAATTGAACTTAACTTTGTTGGATAGATCAGTCCTGTAAAAAAAACACTGAAAAAGCCCTACATGCTTTGTGCAGTCTAGTTGTCCTATGAAAAGACTGTGTTGCATGATATCTGCCCCACATAGCTGAAACCATTGTTTCATTTGCATCTGACACTCAAGGTCAGGCCTTCAGCTGTTCCATAACTGTCAGTCACAAACACAGAGGGAATTATCCACACGTTTACAGCCTCCGTGCCATCATTCAGCTCAGCTTTCTGCACTGGCTGTGTGTCATCACAATGCACTTGGACTGGGTCGCACGTTGGCTGCAGCTGCTATGTATAGAGGTTGTTCTCAGAGCTGTGAAAACACAATGAATACCCAGTTAGACTGCTTTAAGATTGAATACTCTCACTGCAAGGTGCAGGTCATGTGCTGTGGTTTGCTGCGGATCAATCTTCTCTCGGACTAACTTTGCAGTCTGGTTGGAGACGGGATGAAGGACTGCAGCATGGAGGTGATGGAGTTCAGCAGCTGTTCCCAGTCAGGACGCTGTGAAACGTCAGACAAGCTGAGGGTCAACATCAACGGTAGCGTTTTTGAAATTGATAAAAGTACTGTTACTGAGAACTGTGAGTACTTCAGAGCACTGTTCCAGTCTGGTATGAGGGAGTGCAGACAGGAGGAGATCCAGCTGCAGTCGGTTGGAGCTCTTGGGTTTCTGGTTCTGCTACAGGTGCTACATGGGGAGCGACCCATGCTTGACAGTGATCAGATTGTGGAAGCCATCGAGTGCACAGCTTTCCTCCAGGTTCCACTTCTCACCAAACACTTGATCAGTATTATCAGTTCTGAAAACTGTGTGCTCATGTACCACACAGCTGCCACCTACGGAGTGTGGGAGCTGTCCCACCACTCAGCCTTGTTCATCAGAGACATGTACGCTGAACTGAAGGAGGATGTGCACACCTTGCCCAGAAAACTGGTAGAATATGTTGAGTCGCTTCGCCCCAGCAGCTACATGGCAGTGTGCAGTCACTCTCCATCCTCTGAGCTGCTGCACGACATCCAGAGAACCGTCTGCTTCCTGGACGAGGAACAAAATGAGTGGAGGGTCTTCACACATCTACCTCCCTGCACAAGCACCACCATGGCAGGTGTGGCCGTCCTCGACAACAAGCTGTACATCATCGGAGGAGTGCACGATGTGAGCAAGAGGGTGGTGGAGGGTGGATTCTGTTACAACTCAAATGATAACTCTTGGTCCACTATCTGCGGTCCTCAGCAGCTGCGATATGACTTCACACTGATAGGTCTGGAGGGCTGCCTGTACGCTCTGGGAGGGAAGAGCAACATGAAAGTCCTCTCATCTGTGGAGCACTTCAGAGTGTCCAAGGGGAGTTGGGGTTTTATCTCTCCCCTACCCTGCCCGACCGCCTCTGTAGTGTCTACTATAGCCATGAATAGGATTTTTATCTGTCTCTGGAGAGGAGAGGGGGCCACGGATATCCATGAGTATGTGACTGAAGAAGATCGATGGATTCTGGTCACTACGCTCATTCGTCAACATAGTTACGGTCTTTACATGGTGGCTTATAGGGACAATCTGTACGTGATGCGTAACGGACCTTGCGATGACTTCTTACTGTGCGTGATGGACTGCTACAATCTTACTTTAGGTCAATGGACAGCCGTGCCTGGTCAGTATGGGAACAGCAAGGGCTCTCTGTTCACCGCTGTGGTCAGAGGGGACTCTGTGTTCACCCTCAGCAGACACGTCACCACTGAGTACACAGTGGAAGATAACAGATGGAAAGTGAAACGTCAGATGAAAGGTTTTGGCAGAATTGGTTCCATATATACATTTCTGATGAGGCTTCCTAAAGCCACTGCCTCTCTAATGGAAAACTGCCCAGGTCTGACAACAAAGCAAACTGTCAGAGACCTCAGTGTTTGTCCCAGATTGTCCTCAGAGTGCTCTGATAATATTTAAAATCTGCTGCACTTCCATCATCTAAGGAGATAAATCCATAAAGTATTGCAAATCTAAGAAAATACCATTGATATTTTATGTCAAACAGCATAATTCACCAAATACAGTTAAACTAAATGTTTCAACTCTGATTTAAGTACTTTGTTAATGAGAGAAGCTTTACTTTTGCTGAGTGTTCACCTTGTTCAAAACCTCAGTCTGTAGATCACAGCATTAGAAATTAGAAACGGAAAAAAATTATGAAAAAAATATAAAAATAAAACCCAATTTATATTAAACCAAAGTGTTCTGAACGTGTTCTGTTGATGCTTTTCTTGTAACCAACCCCAAAGTCCCTTTTCACATAAGATGACATATGCCCTCCTTCAGAATGCAGTCATTAGTACATTGTCTCAGTACTCACCATATGGGACACTTTCTTGCCTCCTAACCATGCTTTATGTACCTGGTATGACACTACTTCGGACTGTGTCAAGATGAGGTTGCAGGTATTTTTATCTGACCTTTATTTTACCAGGTGAAATGTTTTAGGATCAGTTGTCATTTACAAACGTGAGCCCAGGTCTGAGGTCATTGTGGACAGTCCTGCTTCACGTTTTCTATGAGCAAGCAGCACCAATGTGTGTGTGTGAGCTCTACATCATGGTTTCACTGCCACCATGTGTCAGGACCTGTGTTTTTGTTGGTTTGTTTATAGTCTTATTTTAGGTTCATTTATCAGGTAATTCTTGTGTTAAGATGTTCTCATTTTATGAGCACTTGCATTTCCTGTGTGCCTTTATTCACTTACCCTCATTCGGCTTTTCTCCTTCACTCAGTGAGCTGGCCACGCCCACTCTCACCTGTTCCCAGTCTGCATTCAGCTCAGGTTTCTCCACTTACTCGTCATATATATATATATATAGATATTCAGGAAGTGTGAAATAATAAATCCTGAGGTAATGAGACATGATGCAAAGACTACAGTAGTATGAGAATTACTCTGTGTGTTGATAGTTGTAGCTAAGGCTCATTGATGGTTAGATTTTGTTTTTAAATTAACATTCTTAGTGCCGGAGAGCACACATTTCAAAGTTTGGCGTTTCTGCAGGATGCCTGGTTTATTGTTTGAAATGTTTAGTGTCTGGCTGAGTAGGCAAAGCTCAATATTTAGTAGCACAATCAAAAGGATAAAATAATGTGGCTATTAGTGTGTTATTAGAATTATTATTGATAGTTAGTTATTATTGATCTTTTATTGTTGAAACGTTTAAGGTCTAATCCTGATCAATAGCAGTGTGGGCAACACAAATGTGTCTTTTTAATAGTCAAGTTTCTACAAACAGAAGTGCAAATTTGTTTACAATCTGAATTCTGTCCTGTTTTTTTTTTATTTTAAAGGTTTGTATCCATTTACAGACCATCTTACTTCTGTGCCTTTCAGAAAAAGAGTATAAATAAAAACAAAAGTTAAAAAAAGGATGGGGAGTCAATTTGAGACGGGTACATTTTAAACTTGAACACTAATGCTTTTGTTCATCAATGTTCTTCACCAGTTCTTTTGTGTTTCATCGTTTTTGTGATGATGTTGGTCATTGTTGGCCCCTTTCAGTTCATGGTACCATTTTTAAAAATCTATTTATATTTTACTGATGTGTAACTTGATCTTCAACAGCTCATGTTGCTTTTGTTTAGTGGACAGCACTCAAATCAGTCTTGATTAGCTAAAAACACCTATTTTTATTGTTTCTATTAGTGAAAGTTTAAATAAAGAGGATAAATACTGCCATGTAATTCCTCATTCCCAAGCGATTTCTTTATTGACTTGCTTCCAAAGCCTCAGAAGAATTGATGCTTCAGTGGCGTCTTGTTGCTACTTTTTTGACACGTCACATTTTGACGTTTACATGAAATGTGTTTGTAACGCATGCATGTCCAAAAACACTGACTATTCTTCCTGATTTATTCAAATAATCTATTTTGCAAAAGTTCAATATTTTAAAAATGTTCATGCTGTCAGATGTATAACTTCTTTATTTTACAAAAAAACACTTTTTTGTGTAAATAGTTTTAATAAATCCATGCACAATTATTACAACTTCTAGGATTGCTTCAAAATTGTACAGAGAACAACAACATTTTAAACAGATTGATTTTGTTGCAAGTATAAATAGTATTGTGCTGGTGTATAATAATAAAATTTACAAAAATACACATGTGCAATAATGTTCCCAAGAAAGTGAGCATTCTGCTTGGTGGCTACTGTCCATGTTCAAGTAATAAAAAGTGGTGATCTTGTTATTATTATTATTTTTTTTATTTTTTTTTTGCACAGGCTTCAAGCGATCCTAAAGTAACAGTTTCTGATGCAGTTTATCTGCAGTCGTTGATTTTTATCATGCCACACGCGTCATCAGCTCCTCGAGCGCCCGCTCTCTGTGGTTTTCATGGACCAGCAGAACTTCTTTAATGGCGTTTGGCTGGAAGCCCATCTCGTTGAACTGACTCAGCAGGTGCAGGAACTCCTCGGCCTGAACACAGAAGTCCTGGAATTACACCGACCTTGCCAGAGGGAAAATGTCAAATCCTCCAGACCTGTGCACGGCTCCTGCACGCCTTACCTTTGTCTCGCAGTTCTGAAACATCTCAAGAGCTTCTTCGACCTGAGCAATGTCGTAACCCAGCTGACACAGGTGGTCACAGGCCACCAGGTAACTCAAAATCTGCAGACAGAAAAAAGTATTTAGAGTAAGTGCAAGACATCTGATTCTTCTTTATTTTCTGTTTCTTTTTATCATCTTTGAAAAAATAAAGCAAACAACTCAACCCATTTTTTTTACTTCTTGTTCTTTCGGCTTTTCCCTCTTCAGGGGTCGCCACAGCCAGTCATTCTCCACCATCTCACTCCATCTACCTCCATGTCCTCTCTAACTGCATCCATATTTCTCCTCTTTGTCATTTTCCTGGCAGCTGCAGTTTAACACCGTAATGTCACACAAATTTATTTAAAATGTATCTGAATGTAAGTCCTCAAGCAGTAAAAAAAAATCATCTAAGTGTTCAACCATTAAACTATTTTCATTAAATTCTTCTTACCTGTTTAGACATGTTGGCAGTATTATGCAGTTTTAGATGCCTGAGGTTATAAACTGCAACTAGGGATTGGTTTAATTACAGTGTATCTTGATTCTTTACTTGAACAAACTATGGATGTTTTATTAATTTGTTTTAACAGTAAGTAATGCATTTAGAAATGGCCCAAAGCACAAACTCATAACTTAATCTCATCTAAGCATCACTTCTTTTCTAAAGATGAAAAATTTGGGCAATATTTTTAAAAGGATAAAATGGAATGAATTACACATGGTTGAATTTTTTCCCTGCCTCTCAGCGAGAAGGTCAATGGTTCAAATCCCGGCCCAGGACTTTTCTGAGTGCAGTTTGTATGTTCTCTCCGTGCATGTGTGAGTTTTCTCTGGATACTCCGGTTTCATCCCACAAACCAAAAACATGCATGTTAGACTGATTGGTAACTCAAAATTGTCTCTAGGTGTGAGTGAGTGTGCCTCATTCGTTTTTGTGTCCCTGTGAGGGACAGGAGACCTGTCCAATGTGACCCCCGCATCCAGCAGTGATAGCTGGATATGAGCACCAGTAATCCCCGCAACACAAAAGGAAGAAGTGGGTAAAGAGGATGGATGGATGGATGGATGGATGGATGGATGGATGGATGGATGGACGGACGGACGGACGGACGGACGGACGGACGGACGGACGGACGGACGGATGGAAGGATGATGGATAGATGCATGGATGGGTGTATGAATGGACGGACAGACAGATGGGTGGGTGGGTGTATGGATGGATGGATGGATGGA